GCCTAAGGGTCCTTATATAGTAGTCCAAGGAAACCCTAGATAACCCTGATTTGAATATTAAATTAATATTTCAAATTTGGTATTTATCTCATTTCTTAATTATCCACATGGGATATTTTAGAAATCCTAGAATATCCCCCTAAAACCCTCCATCACCTATGTGGAAGGTTCTGGAGCCTTTTGTTCAACTATTTAACAATTACACTTTAGACCCTACACTTTTAATTAATTTCATTAATCCCAAAATTAATTCCATTTAATTTCTGATTAATTATTAATTAAATAATACTATTTCTAATTAATATATTATTCTCATAATACATTAATAAACTATTTATTTCAATTTATTAATCACATAATAGATCAATCTCTCTCTCTCCAAAAGTCATACTGTCCAATTGCTAGGTTTGAGGGCAACCCAAAAGGACTGTGCTACTATCAATTCAAGTATATATCAATTATAGTTATGGGCTTAGACACCTAATCCAACAGTCTCCCACTTGGATAAGTCTATAACTATAACTGCCAATATAACTTTTAAATCGATTAGCAAATTGTAGCTTCCAAAAGCCACTGCCGAACTCTGACCCAGTCAATTACGCGTCCTAATATAAGTGATCATATAATCCTCCGTTCTGCAAGATATCAGTCGGACATGAGACATGTAATAGAATCAATCTCACTGTCCAAGACTTTGTTTCCTAATTTCTGATTTGTGATGATATATGACTTCTAATTGAACACATCAATTTAGTCCTGGCTGGGCCCAACACTATAAGTCAACACCAAATCACCGAGGGGCCCAAAGATATCTCTTTTCCCGTTAGGGGAAAAGGAACGAATAAACTTTGACTCATATGCTTGTATCTTTTACTCATCAAATCATGCATGACAATACGTTTTACAACATCAAGTTACAGATGCGCTTACGCATTACCAATGTACAACCAACTTGTAAATTACAACTCATATATCTCCGTTTCAAGATCATAAGATATTATCATCTCATAATTACTCGTGATGAAGTCCATGAAGTAATTCTCTGAGTGTGGGTTTATCCAATACTTAAATCTCCATTTCTAAGTACTCATGAACATTGCAGCAATACTATTGCTATGTCTAACTCCCTTAGACAATCGACAATCCAATTCATGACAGTCTTAATTCGCTACCTACTTCCAAAAGTACGACTGATTGTGGAATTTTGAATAATCATATTATTCGGGAACTAAAACATGCAAAACAAAACACATGAATAAACAAATGACAAAAGGTAGTAAACAAACTCATAAATAATTCTCCATTATTTAATCACCAAAAGTCAATTACATTTATTTTGCTACAAGTTTCAAACTAACTATCTAACTATTAAAACTAATATCATCTCTCATACCAATGCTCCTAGCATGCTGACTGTGCTTGACCCTACTCAGGGCCTTTGTTAAAGGATCTGCAGGATTCTCTTCTTATGATGGTGACCTTCTTCTACCCTATGTCTGATGTAATGGTACTTTCTGTCGATATGTCTAGACTTTCCATGATCTCTTGATTTCTTAGTCAAGACAACCGCTCATTCATTATCGCAGAAAAATTCTATTGACTCCTGAATGGTCAGGACAACTTCGAGGTCACCGATTAACAAATTCGCTGAAAAAAAAACCAAAAAGATTTGTGATCTCTAAGTATTTTTTTTCAGCGAATTTATTTAAAAAGCTGCGATTTTTTTATATATAAAGTCAAAAAAAAAAAAGATTTGTGATCTCTAAGTATTTTTTTATGCATTTTTATAATTTTTAGAGTTTTTTTGTTTTCCAAATAACCCTTCCCTATATATATATATATATATATATATATATATATATATATATATATATATATATATATATATATATATATATATATATATATATATAGAGGTAGGTTCAAATGTTTCTCACATCTATTGTGTGCTAGAATGCACCAATAAGAATTTAGTATTAATTATATGTATATTAAATGCTATCCATACTTATAATTCATTTTTATGGAAACTAATTAAATTCGTCATTAATGTCAACAATAATATTCTTTCAGAATGAATTCATATCTAGAAGAATGAGAGTGTATTCGAGCAGAATGAGAGTGTATTCTAGTAGAATACACTCTCGTTCTTCATATTCCATGCAACTTTATTGTATTTTAAGTGAGTGAGTCCTGAACAAAATACGAACTCATATATAAAAACCTAGATACGAATTTATTCTGAAAGAATGTTATTGCTGACATTAATGACAGATTTAATTAGTTTCCATAAAAAGAGAATTATAATTATGGATATCATTTAATATACATATAATTATGGAAATAATTTAATATCTATATTTATTTAATTAAATAGTTATTTTTTTTTGGAACCGGCCAATAGATTAATATTAGAGAAAAAGAAGTAACAGGAAAAGTAACAATACAAGCCACATAGAGCTAGTGGCAAAACACAGAAGCACGAACAACACGAAATAAAAACAACAAACAACTGAAATTACAGGTTAAGAAAAGGGCATTGAGACCAATTTGCCCATGCTAACTCCTTTCTTTTACCCCTGTTTCTCACCCAAAGAAAGCTCAAAGATTTGACAATATCTATGACTTTGTCGGGTGGCAGCCGGTTTTTGTTGAAAACTCTATCGTTTCTTGCTTTCCAAATACACCATAGCATACAATAACAAATGGCCATAAAAATCCTCCTTCTTTTTTAACACAATCCCCACTTGGCAGCAAACTCTAGAATTTGATTCACCTTATGAAAACTTCCAGCTTGCACCCTGCACCATCTCAATATCCCCTCTGTGACCATCGTTGCATAAGAGCATGCCACAAGAGTATGGTCTGGACATTCATCTATCTCCTCACACATCCGACATATCAATGTTTCCACAATTACCCCTTTTTGACAGTTCATTTGCTGTTGGAATTCTGCCCTCTTGCGCCCTCCAAATGAAACAGGATACTTTCAGTGGAATTTCTTTAAGCCATTGAAAATTAGAATTAATGGTAGGCGTTCTATAATCCAGTTTATTCCTCAGGGCACACACTGTATATGAACCATCCGGAGTTAAGCCACATTTCCAGATTTCACTTGTGGGACCTTGATGCTTGGAAATCACTGAACAAACAGGGATGTTCTTTTTCATGAGATCATTCTTTATACCTGCAATATTATTCCATACCCCGGGTAAAGTCTTCATCGAGTAACAATCATCAGGTTTGGAACGGAGGTTATGCACACTATATATGACTGTTGCCCATAGTTCTCCAGGTTTGGTTCTAAGCTTCCACCACCACTTCATAATGAGGGATATGTTCAGAGCCTTTATTGTGCCAACGCCAAGGCCACCCGAGTCTTTAGGGGCTGTCACTTTGTCCCACGAAATCTAATGAATAACCTTCCTATCATCTGATCCACCCCAAAGGAATCTGTTCCTCAACCTTCCAAGTGTCTCGATGACGCCCTCTGGAGCCACAAATAAAGATAAGTAATAAGTTGGGAGGTTTCCTAGGACTGATTGGATGAGGGTCAGTCTGCCGCCGAAGGATAGATTTTTAGATTTCCACTTTGAAAGTTTTTCTTTGAATCTGTCAATGATCGGTTTCCAATGTTTCTTCAACTTCATATTGGCACCAACAGGGACACCGAGATATGTAAAAGGAAGGGAGGATGGTTCACACCCTAGAGGTCTCGCCTAATTTGTCACCTCCTGTGTGTCAACACCAATTCCAAATACTCTAGATTTATTGAAGTTGACTCTAAGCCCCGATGCAGCATGGAAGCAGTGTAAGATGCGTGATAGGTTCTTGATGTTTTGCTTCGACCACTCCCCCAAGAAAAGGGCATCATCCGCTTATAGCAAATGGGAGAGTGTTGGCCCCCCATTTGGCAAATTGATCCCATGGAAAATGCCTAGTTCACACGCCGACTTCATCGCTACACTAAGTCCCTCCATGGCTATAATGAAAAGGAACGGTGAGAGTGGATCCCCTTGTTTGACACCTTTGGATATAGAGAATTCCTCGGTTGGGCAGCCATTTACAAGTACTGAGGACTTGGAGGAAACAAGGCATCCTTTTAACCACATTCTTATTTTGTTACCGAATCCCATGTTCACTAAATTTGAGTCAAGGAAGTCCCAGTTTAGTGAATCAAAGACTTTATCAAAATCAACCTTGAAAAGAAGTATCTTCTTTTTATTCTTTTTTGCCCAAGAGCAAATTTCATTCACAACCAGGGCCCTTCCAATATATTCCGACCTTCAATATACGCTGATTGCGCCTCATCGATGCACTTCCCCACGACGTTCTTCAGTCTTAGCGAAAGAATTTTCAAGATGATTTTATTCTAGCACACAATAAATGTAAGAAACAAAATAATCTAGCCATATATATATATATATATATATATATATATATATATATATATATATATATATATATATATATATATATATCATCCATTATAACAATAACCAACAACAAAAACTACACAATTAATACATACATTCCAACAACAAAGATGTAGATGATGTGTAATGTGTTGTGTTTTGTCAAAAGGACTACGTTGGAACCATTTAGAAGTACATTCCATCAATTTAGATGTATGTATATGGTCATTTTTTAATTATAATAATTCCAACATATAAAAATGGTTATAAGCTATTAAAAATATTTAAAAAAAGATTTAGACAAACTTAATATTTTGAAGGTTTATTAAGGATTGATATTATACTTAAAAATTAAGTTTAACAATTTGATATTTAAAAATGGCAAAGAAAATTTTTCCCTAATATTTTGGGCAAACATCCAAGTCCAGCAGCTATCTCGAAACTATACAAATGGCACAACACAAAACAATCTGTTTCTTTATGCAGTTTTATAGTATTACATAATGTCATCATTTTACATAATAAGAAAACAAAAAAATGAGTAACATGAAGATTAATTCACAATCTGAATCCAATTTTAACTTTGAACTGCTTGAACAAACCCTGATAATCAGTAAAACGCAAAATTATTGTTTCTCAGGAAGAAAAAAAATGGCTACACATTTCTTGTGAGTGAGATCTCACAAAAAAAAAATTACAGTATCATCATCATCATCGTTACCAATTCACCTAGGTCGTATCGGTTAGCAAGCGTTTATGCCTGTTATACTGCTTCTCCATGAACACCTTCGACGCTCCATCAATGGTTCTTCGCCAAGTCTAAATTCAAGTACAAAAAAAACAATCAGATCGACTAAACCCTAAATGAAACACCAACACCACAAACATTATTGAATTCAGATGAAATTTGGGACGTACCTTCTCGATTGTTCCGAAAAACGATCTGTTCCTGAAATTCCTAGACCTAAATTGAGCTCTCCCAACCTTTAATTGCCTAACCAACGCCCCCGCGCCAAATGATCGGCGACCGGATGCAACAGGCGGAAGGAGCGACTTCCTTTCAACGACTAATGTGCCGGTAAACTCAGAGATTTCACCGGTCACGAGTGGTAATGATTGAGCAGATCTCTTTTGTCGTTTCGATAAACGTGATGATTTTTTGGAAGGACGATCAGGAGAAGCTACTTCGGCGAATTTGCTGAGGAGTTCGTCGGAGGAAGCTTTGGTTACATGTTGAACGGCTACCGTTGGTGTAGGCGTGACGGTGGCAGTGTCCATTGTTGTTAGAGATGGAGGGGGAGACCGATTGCAGAGTGTAGAGTGTAGAGAGAGAGCAGATGGAGGGAATTGTTTGCAGTAGAAAAGGGTCTGGTCTGAATCTTATGGAACAGGATGAGAATAGACCGTTGAAGAAGATGGTGGGGGTGGTGATGGAGGTGATGAGAATGAGGAAATAGAGCCGTTGGGTGCTCAGAAGATCACTGATGAACTGCATTATTGTATTATTATAAAAAATGATAACAAGCAATAATTATTATGTAACTAATTTAATAATAAAGTTAGTATAAAACCAAAATTTGACATGATGCAATGTGACTAAGTTAATCGGAATATTAAAAAAAATCATTATTGTAGGTTTAAAAAATGGATGTATATGAAAAAAAATTAATTATATGAATCACATTACTTGAGATTTTATCTACAAAATCATAAATATAATTAAAGATGTGTTTAACTGTAGTAAAAATAGTTGGTAAAATACTTAAAAACACAATTAAAAACTATATTATATTTATTAAGAGCAATTTTGAAAAATATTAAAAAAGTACAATAACAAATAGTAGTTTTTTTTCTTAAATTAAGTTTTTTTTGTTAAAAGATAAAAATTAAAAGTTCTTAAAAATTCATTGTCAAATATGCTTGGGATTAATTTGTAAAATTTAGAGATGATTAGTACTCAATACTCATAAATAACGTAATTAATATAATTATCCCACTCAAATTAGATTATTGATAATTTGCTATTTTGTTTTTCTCTAAATGAGTTATTTAAGGAACAGGGGCGGAACACGAGTATAAAAATAAGGGACCAATACTCTTTTTTCTTAATAAATCATAGTAAATTAGAAAATAATTTAACCACTTGATGATGATGTTAACTTTTAATATATATTAAAAACTCTTGTCTTTAATATTTAGTTAATTCTAATTAACTTAATGTTTAATATAGAGTCCTTTAATATATTAATTTAATTTAATAATAAGTTATCACTAATTCAATCAAAATATATGGTAAAGAAAATATAGAACGTATTTGAAACAAAAATTTACATAGTAAACTTTGTTCTTGTACGTATTTTAATTGGGTATAAGATAATAAAGCATAAATATTGTTAAAACCAAGGCTGTCAAGTTCGGCTACATAGAATCGATTTCAAGTCTGCAAGATCAGGATCCTAAGATCTCACAATAATAACATAAAAAGGTAATTGATCGTATATGATTTTTTTTTCATATTTCATGGTTAAATAGTTCAAAAAGGTAACTGGTCATGTACTAGTTAATGACATGATTAAATAGCTTAAAAAGATATTAATACTGATTATTTATCATAACATAAAAAGGTAATTGATCGTATATGATTTTTTTTTTCATATTTCATGGTTAAATAGTTCAAAAAGGTAACTGGTCATGTACTAGTTAATGACATGATTAAATAGCTTAAAAAGGTATTAATACTGATTATTTATCATACAATTGTAGCAACTCGCAACCTTCATGTTATTTGTTTTAAATCTTTAACACTTATTTCTTAACCATAAGGAAGAAATCAATAACAATTTCAACTTTTGAATCTCGATTAAAAACCGAATTTATCAAGGAAAGCGCTTGGCAGTAAAATAGTGGAAAAAGGAAAAAGACTTGGACACTAACAGTTTCAATTTTTGAAGCTCAATTACAAACCGAATTTCTCAAGGAAAATGGCTTGAGCAGAAAAATAATGGAAAAGGGAAAAAGGTGCACCTCTATTGTTGAACTGTTGAAGAAAGAAATTAATAACAATCATAAGCTAAATCTCAAATTCTACCATCAATGAGGGTGAAACATGAAGAGAGAGAAAAAAAATTCTAAGGTTCTTGGTCATTTGTGGTTTACAAAACTGACAAAATAGTAAAGAATGAGGTTATTTTCGATTAACCTTTTGGTAAGGAGATCGGGTCAACTAGAAAATGATAAAAAATAATAAAATCTAGATTAAAATTTGGCAATTTTCATGAAGTGGTAGGATCAGATCCCGATCCTACGATCCTGTCTTACATACAAAACGATCATATTGCGATCCAACAAGGTTTTCATTGGTAGGATCATAGGATCTTACTATGATCAAAATCTCGATCTTGACAACCTTGGTTAAGAGTAAAACCTTATATTAATCTTATATATTCGTAATAAAGTAGAACTTGATTATGTACTTGTTTGGTATTATACGGACCAAAGTTGTCAAATCACATCTGTAACATCCCGAGATTTTGCAGGTATTTCCAAACCCTCTTCTATCATTACCTTGTCATTTGTAGTCCTTGGGTTTGGAAGTGTAGAGCCAAGATAAGTATAAGGGTCAAGGTTGCAACCTTGGGTCAATGAGGAGTACGATGAGCGTACATAAGAGTACACTAAGCGTATTAAGGTCCACCTTAGTACGTTGGGCGTACTTATGTCAGAATGAAACCCTAATATTTAGGGTTTGGGGGCTATATAAGCAACATTATGAGCTCATAACCCTCCCTTACCTCAGCCTCCACTGCTTAGAGTCGTTTTCCCCAAACCCTAGCCATTTCCTTGAGTGTGTGAGCTTATTGAGTGTTTCTTGAGTGTTCTAAGAAGAAGGTGTTACATCAAGGAGTTGGATAAGAAGATTAAGATTGTAGATTTGAAGTTGGGTTGTGCCCTAGAAGCTCCAGAAGGTAAAAAGCTTCAAACTTTATGCATATATGTATAGATCTTGCCATTTTTGCTTTAAGAACCATTTCTTGTCCCAAAAAGTCCCAAGATGGTGCATGATGTGATTTGGACGAAATGAACTGTCCTTCTAGACTCTTGAAGGGGTTTTGAGTGATAAATGTGAGGTCCCAATGGCTTAAGATGTCCCATGCATGGAGTAGGAAGGTCTTAATGGATTAAGACCAAGTATTAAGAGCTTTCTGGACGTCCAAAGTGATAAAGTGCGTGACTTTATGGGTCCTAGGCACATTTAGTCACTGGATCTGAAGTTTGGGTTTAAGTGCTTAAGCCATTAAGCACTTATTAAGATTTTGGCAAACCACTACGTACGCCCAGCGTAAATCCAGTACGCCCAGCGTACTGGGTCAACCACCCCGATGGTGGTCAACGTCAGAACGAGTACGCCCAGCGTACCAGATGAGTACGCCCCGCGTACGTCCTATGTTGGGCTTTTGACATTTGGGCTTCGGGTTTTGGGTTTTTTATGGACTAGTTGGATTTGGGCCTTTGCTGGACTTTGTGAATATGATGTTTTGGGCCAAGTTTTGATAATGGATCTTGGAATTAAGCCCAATTAGGGAGTTAGGCCCAATTTGGTAAATTGGGCCAATAATGGGCTTTACACAAGGACTTTTAAGGTTATGGACTTGGCATTAGGCCTTGGCCCAATAAAGAGAATGGACATGATGGATTGTGTGGACCCTTAGTCAAGACTGTTATGTGGTGTATTGACTTGGTATTTATTATGTGATAGTTCGAGATTTCCGGTGAGACAACGATCAGAGGTTTTCGGTACTTCAACACTACTTGCGAGGTGAGTTACCTCAATATACTAAGGGGTCTAAGGCACCAAGGCCGGCCCATTAGATATGATATCCTAGCAGTTGATAGTATGTTGAGTATGAGTTAGTGTTGCATGCTAGTTGCTATGCCAGTTAGGTAGATCTGTAGGACTACCTGTATTATTATGTGATTACTTGTATGGGCATTAGCTGTGTTATATGTCGACATATTATATGGGATGGGTTGAGGTGATACTACTCCATACGGTAACCAACAAACCCGGGAGCATTCCAGATACGAGCTGAGGGCCAGGTGGGGCATGCCAGACTCGTACTGTGGGCTCGGGAGCATTTCAGATATGAGCTGAGGGCCAGGTGGGGTATACCAAACTCGTACTATGGGCTCGGTGGCAATCCAAATGTGAGTTGTGGGCCCGGAAGGCAATCCAGACTCACATTGTGGGCCCACGGGTAATCCAGACTGTAAAGTTGTGGACCCAGTACATGTTGTTATTTATATATGTGTTAAGTGCAGTGTATCAGTATTTTGGGGGAACTCACTAAGCCTCAGGCTTACAGTTTCAGTTTATTGTTTCAGGTACATCAGGGGATCGCGGAAAGGCGAAGGCGTGATCGTACAGCTCCTCACATTTATGTTTATGCTTCTGAGATACTATGATATTATACATTTTGAAAACAAGTTTTGTAATGATTCATGGTTTTGAAATGTTTTTTTAAAGTTTAAATTTGGCATTATTTTATGGGTGTTACAAGTTGGTATCAGAGCCTTGGTTTGAGTGAATTGGAGGAACACTTATGTGAATCCAGTCTCAAACCAATGTAAAGATTTTCAAAAAGGTTTTCAAAATATCAAAGGAGGATGCAAGGTGTACGATCAGCCGGAGGCAGTAAGTAGATCCCAAAATACCATACAGTTATTTGATATTGTGATATGTTAGAACAGCATGCTAGTACTAGGCTAGGGATCTTCAGGAATTGCATAATAGAATTGTCTGATTACATGATGCCTGCTAGCCTAGGGTTTTCTCTATATGAAATTGACATCATTACTGTAGTTGCTTAGTGTATGCATCACGGTCGTACATAATTAAGATCTTATAGCCTGAGAATGTTTGTTTTGGCCTTATTTCCTGTCCTTGTTTGATGAAGGGCTTAGGGTAGGATCAGGTATTCGAAAGTCTATAGGGTCCAGCGTTATGTATGACTATCATACACTAGTGCTGCAGGGTTGGTGGAAGTTTCATGGATGGGTGGGTCGTGCGAGGCCGGGAGGCCAGTTACGAGATATTTAGCATTCCTCTAGGGGTGAGGATTGAGCGCTCGCTATGTTATTATATATGTTTAGGGTGTTGTGGTGATACTTGAGACAAATATGGGTAGGTGTGGAAGGTAGTATGGGCTCGTACTACTGAAAGCACAGGACCCATACGCGTAGCAAGGAAGTCACAACCCCTAGGGTTTAGTTGGAAGTTGGTCCCCTGTTATTATGTGGCTTATCTGATATATTCTTGGTATGTTTTCAGAATGGTGGTTACGAGACGCTTTGTGACTGGATCCGGGTCAGGATCAGGATCAGGACACGGAGGCCAGGAGGGGCCAACAACACCCGAGACTGTGGTGCAGATGGGGACAGAGGAGCTAGATACCAGGATTCGAGAGATCCTGCATGATGAGGTTGCCGCTA